GGGTAGCACTGCTGATAAATGATAGAAAAATTTAGATTGAGAGTATCGACGGAAGATTAGAGGAAATTTTATGTAATCATATTTGGACGAGTTCTTTTTCATTTCATGATGAATCTTTATCGTATTTACGCGCATATTAATTTTTCGTTGATACGAGCAAGGTTATTAGTCGGTTAGACGTAGTTATAGCAGTAACTATATTACATGAATAATTAATTATGCAGGAGTAGCGCAAAAGGAAGGATATTTATCGCTAGGCGACCTAACGTGATTTAATACGTTATGCGCAATAACAGTATTTAATTTCTCATTACCTTGGTAGATGAAAAGAGTATGTACACGAGTATGTATTTACTACGGCTTCGAACTCGACCGCAGAGGTGACCTCTGATCAATGATATCGATAATTTACCAGATCGTATTCGCTGCGACACATCGTGTTTCAACTACAGAAGCGATAAGCAATATGTAGAGCTCGAGGCAGGCGCGTTTCATACATCGTTGCGTAGAAGAAGAGGGACGAGAAAACTAAACCTTTGCGTACATATACGTGTGTTCGTTCTCACCTGATTTGATTGCGCTCTGTGATTCTACCTGGATCGAATTGTGCATTCTCGAGCGATGCAGCTTCTTATATCTAGTACATATGTAGCAGTATGTACATGGTTATAGGAAATGAAAATTAGTATCGGTGAAATAATCGATTTGATATCTGTATCAAAATCTGCATCTATGACGCAACATTGTGTTCACCTGTTCCCACTTGTGTTTTCACCAGTCTACCTGCCTGCCCCTTCATGGTCATAGTTTATCCATTGCATTAGACGATTAAGCAGACGATTTACGCGCATACATTCGATGGGGCTGGCGAGCACTAACCACAGGAGTATGTAGCTCTACCGAGTACATTCGATTTTCGCGCGAAGCACGGTACGTGCAATTTCGATCGCGACCGATTCGAACGATTCGAACTTGCATGCAACTTCCACTTTCCTTTCTTCAGCTCCTATTCACCTCCTTCCTTCTACTGGCATTTCGTTTTTCCTTTTTCTTCAGTTTCTCCTAGATAGAAATATAGCGGTCAGGTATAATTGCGTAGTCTCCTCATATACTTTTGCTCCTCTATCTATGCTACACTTGAGGTTACTCTTAAGATGATACGTACGTATTATATTGTTTGAAGTCGGTGTTAACGTTTGGTAGTATTTTTGCAGATGGAAAGCATGAACGGAGGCGAGTTTTGGTCCCTTCCCCCGAAACAGGCCCTCTACGATCCGATTCTGGAAAAAGACGCCTGTGGCGTTGGATTCATTGTTGCTATAGATGGGAAAAAATCACACAAGGTGAGTGTCGCCATCGTTAATACGTTCGCTTCCACCAGAAAATCGGTAGTATGCTTTGAGTAATACATTTTGGACTGCATATGCTGCATCGGTGGCAACGAATGTGTTAACAGAAAAGAGAAGAACCGATCGGATACACCTTGTTTCCGCCTTGCCGTATCGTACGGCACGGAACGGCACGGTATGCCTATATGTATATCTAGCATCAGCTAGAAGCTCGCTTGAACTTGGATCGCAACAATAATCTCTAATGAGCTCTGTGTGTGTTTTTTTAATCGAGGTTGGAGCTAACTTTTATTCTGTTCCATTTGCTCCGTTGCAGATCGTTCGCGATGCAGAGACCCTCTCGGCACGTATGAACCACCGTGGTGCTTGTGCCTGCGATAACGATACCGGAGACGGGGCCGGTGTTCTTTGCGCAATTCCACATGAATATTACGCCGATGAATTACGGTAAGAGATAAGCAAGATCCATGGACTGTCTAACGCTTTATCATCCTATGACGTATTAGTAGCGTGGTGCGTTTGATAACGCGTACAATTTCATCATATCTGCTGCAGGTCGACGGCGTAATTTCTGGGTTATCTAGACTTTACGTGGATCATGCATAGAGTAGCATGAAACTGCTACGTGTTTACCGTTTTATCGACCTCATCATCGTTATCGTTATCATTATCATTCTAATCATTCATGCTTGTATTAATATCCATCAGTATGGATTTTCTCTTCTATATCATTGTGCATGATATATCTTTGATTCACGATACTTTCATTTGGAGCGTTTTCATCCATTTACCACCGCCTCCTTTAGGACTCGTTTCATTCATCGTAAACGCATTTCAACATACTAATAAGTTCACCATATATGTGATTATATAGCTGTGTAAAACGAGAAAGCCATCTGACCGATAATGATTCCATCTTTGACGGAACGAAATCTACCGATTCGATACTCTGCTGTGAATCATTACCTGTACACTCCCTTCCGTTCTTTTTTCAGCGAACGACAAAACATCGAATTACCGGAATTCGGTCGTTACGCCACTGGTATTTTATTTTTGGATAAAAATTCACACGAAGAAGCCGAAGCTGCGTTTGCAAATTTAGCAGAAGAATGCAATTTGAGGGTAGGATGTAATACGATACGTAGTATAATATAATGTATGGAAATTTCCGTTCCTTTCCGATTCTTTTTCCCGAACAATTTCTTCGTACCGTAGATAATCTGTTGGCGTGATGTTCCAACGGATAATACACGAATCGGCGAAGTGGCACGAAAATGCGAACCTTATATGCGCCAAGTCTTTGTCACTGGCGATCAAGATAATAATGGTAGTCTTGAACGACAGGTAAATAATTTAAATTGCTCGAGGAAACTCGGGCGTAATTAGTTGAAACGAAAATTCAAAGTTGAATCTTCGTCGTAGGTTTTCATGTTGAGGAAAAGATCGTCTCATTCTATACCACGACCAGGAATCAGATACTACATATGTTCACTTTCTATACGAACGGTCGTTTACAAAGGGCAATTAACGGCGGATCAACTTTGGCTTTACTTTTTAGATTTGAAGGTAAAATGGAATGTGTGACGGTATATGTATATAGACGATTACCGTTAGTCTAGTTTTAGTATGACACTCGGGTTTGTTGTAGTGCTCGAAATTTGAAACCTATCTGGCATTAGTGCACACGAGATTCTCCACAAATACATTTCCCAGCTGGGAAAGGGCGCATCCTCTTCGGTAGGTAGCCTAGCGAAGTAAGATATGCGTACGAGCGTGTAAATACATATTTCCATAAAAAGTTGAACGACGAAAATGAACTCTTCACAGACTATTAGCGCATAATGGTGAGATCAACACCTTGAGGGGAAACGTAAACTTGATGAAAGCTCGTGAAGGAGTGATGAGCAGTGAGCTTTATGGGGAACAACTGAAGCAGCTTTATCCCGTGGTAGAACCAAATCTTTCGGACTCAGGGGCCGTTGATTGTGTTTTGGAATTCTTGGTAATGGTGGGACAACGATCTTTACCAGAGGTATGGAATATTTCTTAGTACTACTTGATACTTATTACTAGCATTCGATTCGTCTTGTCGTTTCTGTTGCTTCTCCTCTTCCTTCTTTTCCTTTGTTTTTTATCTTCTCTCAATAAAGTATGCGTTCAGGCAGTAATGACGATGGTACCGGAAGCATGGCAGAACGATTTAACGATGGCAACGGAGAAACGCGATTTTTATCATTGGGCTGCTTGTGCCATGGAACCCTGGGACGGGCCAGCTCTTTTAACTTTTACGGATGGACGTTACGTTGGTGCTATTCTAGACAGGTAGAAACTGATATTTACTTTTCGCGATTTTAACTGATCTTTTATCTTTACTACGCTTTTTTACCCGTTTTCATGCAGCATTCGTCTATCTGTAGTATGTGCAAAACCTTGTAAACGTATTTCTCTTCTTCCGAAAGAACGAAAGAAAAAGGTATTGAGGTGTTGAATGTGGCTCGTGTCTCATGAAAACGGTGTACAGATTAAATGCGATTATTGCTACACGCTATTCTGCGTTCGATGTTAATTGTAAAATCTAATATCTACGTACGTATATGTACAGATGTATACTTGCACATACGCTTATCGACATTTTCAAGGCTTGTTCTATGTACAGTATGCACGCAGTATATAGTCACATACATGCACGCATATACTCGCGATGCAATCTCTTTAAGCTCTCACATACGTACCAATATACGTATACATGTATTTGGGGAATAAATATCTCTACGTATGATACTCTTCTATTGTATACACACACTGTTCTATGTGTGTACGTGTATGCATGACAGGACTCGAGAAAAGGTAACATTAAAATGAAAAAATCAAAAGAGGTAAACATGGATTATTAAAGTTCTGGAAGGAAGCAAGTGAAAGATTTTTAAATTTACGTTAGATCGATATTGAGAAACATTTTTTAAGGATATTGTACATGATAATTCTGTTGTATTTATCATTGAGCGCAATAATAGAGAATGTAGTACAATAGACAAGTAGAGAAAGAGAGACTGTGTTGGAAAATGAAACAGCCATTCGCTACCTTCCGAAACTCCTAGGCAAAGAAACTGGGTCACTCGTGTCCAGTGCCTACATGAATCGATGTTTACAGAGAGAAATGGGAGCCCATCGTTGTCTTTCAAAGAAAATTGCTTGGTTAGTAAATACAAAGGTAATTACTGGGCGGCTAGGCATAGAAGAGAAAAAAAAAGGTTGTGTGCGTGCGTGTGTGTGTCGCGCGTGCGCGAGAAA